CATCAGATAACTATCTTTTACATTTGCTGCAACACCATCTTAATGGGAAAACATATGCAAATGTGTTATAGAGGACACTGACATGTTTTTTTGCTTCAAAGCAAATTGATTTCTTTAATCAGGGCATTAACAACCTGGTTATAAGATGGAAAAGCATCATTGATAAGAATGGAGACTATTTCATTTAATAAATGTTTTGTTTTGAGATACAAGTTGTTTGGATTTTTTCATCTAAAAATAACCGACATTAATTTTTTAATGACCTTATAGATACTTACAGCTGAAGTCCTTTACAGAATTCAAAAAATAGAAAGTCTTCAAAACTCTAAACTTTCAACTGCCTACAATATAATTATACTGAACACTCAACATTCACAACAAAATACTCATACTAGTCTTGAAAACAGTACATCACAGAATTTTGTATGTTATCTGGTTAAATTCTGGCATCAATACATAAAACAGTAACATGTCATAGTTTCAGACTGCTAAAATCAAACCAAGAATATTATTAGATTTTTTTTTAACAAGTTCCTAAAAACACAGGCTATCGTTTTGAAAAGAAAAATCTCCATAATCATCACTATACATATAAATATTCTCTAAAGAAATGGAATTCATACACCATTGGAAGGTTAATGTAATAAAATCACAACTTTGAAATATAAACAAATATATTTTACTAAATTTTGAGTAACAACTTTACATCTTCATGAAGACTTATAAAATGGAGTTGCTCAAAACATCGCTAGACAGAATAAATTGATTTCTATTTCAAGGATGTGTTTTTACAGTGATTTTATTTTACTGTATATAAATATTCTCATCTAAAAGAAATGAAATATCAGAGTTGTTACCTCACTGAGTTCCCTTTCTAGACTAATATTTGTAGTTTCAGCTTTCTCTGCTTGTAAAGTAAGAATCTTGCTCTGTAAAGAAATATTTCACAGTTATCTTACACGAATATTTTAAATGTCACACCATTACCCTATCACTTAGGCTATATATTAAAGTTAACTAAATTGTCTTTTGTAAGTCTGTATTGAATTCTGTAGTCTTATTTCCAAGACCTCCCTCAGCTGGTGATTTCAAAAATAAGAATTTTATGTTTTAAAGATTCATTGTCCTAAAAATATGGAGCAAATTGTAGTATTGCAAACAAAAATATTGAAGTTCAATATACATATTTTGTATTTAACTAATAATGAATATGAATTTCTATAATCACCTGTAGAATGTTTATGAATAAATTAATTTCTTTATATGTGATGAGAGATTTTACCACATAAATTTTGATAGTGAAAACCCTACATCAAAAATGCTACAAACACAATATATCTTCACAGATCTGTACTGAATAATTATGATGATATCAATAAATGTTAAAGCAATGTTTCTGGTTTAAAATATAGGTTTACTTTCAAATCTATATGTCTTTAAAGGTTTAACTTCCATCAATATTTCAGTAATTTATAATAAACAATTTTTTCATCAGTATTTTTTCGAGATTATCACAAGAAGCAAGCATCTTCAATGCAATTTCAACATTTACTGAGCAAATGAACTTGCAAAACCTCTGATCCTTTAGTATTATTAATTTAGTAAGAGAACCTGTAATGAATCTAGTAGAACATACCTACAAAACTAAAACCATAGTATAATGAACCTGATAAAACATACATACAAAATAAAACCACAGTCTAATGAACGTGATAGAACATACATACAAAACTAAAACCACAGTCTAATGAACGTGATAGAACATACATACAAAACTAAAACCACAGTCTAATGAACCTGATAGAACATACCTACAAAACTAAAACCACAGTCTAATGAACGTGATAGAACATACATACAAAAATAAAACCACAGTCTAACGAACCTGATAGAACATACCTACAAAACTAAAACCACAATCTAATGAACCTGATAGAACATACCTACAAAACTAAAACCACAGTCTAATGAACCTGATAGAACATACATACAAAAATAAAACCACAGAGTATAATGAACCTGATAGAACATACATACAAAAATAAAACCACAGAGTATAATGAACCTGGTAGAACATACATAC